TCGCCCACTCAATATTGACACTGGGGCAGATTATGGTAACTGTCTCAAACTGGATAATAAATGCACCGGTAACGGTGGCTGCTACCTTTGCTGATTTCAGTGAAGCTTCGGCAGTTTAACAGTATGAGTACTATCAAGGTACATGCGCAATGAAAATGACAAGCTTGCGTCAGTCGTTTGGAGGACTCGGGAGGATCGCATAAATCAACAAAACGTCATATCATCTCTCACAAGCGATATCTTTTAGACCCTACCATGGAAGTACACAGTAATAATATAGAAGCAGTGTGACCATATAATGGCTTCAGAGGTCGAATCTTACGGAATCACATGGATGAGTTCCTGTTTCCTATGCATTACGAGTTCCAAACTACAGTCTCTTTCTAACCTCGAAACGTTTTTAAACCATGTTAAAGAAAAGCATCCACTCTAATGTTCTGGTTCTGAATAGTTTGTTCTACTCCAGACCGACTGTTTTCTGGTTGACTAAAGTTTATCAAGGTCCCTTACGATTTGTTCAAAGGCCGTCTATAAATTACAGTTTTGCCAATATCCTCTATTTTTTCATTACGATATTTACTTCCCATATATTAATAAATACATTATTCATCACTAGCACTATTCCACTAACCATTTTACAAATAAGCCACAGCACTTGGAAATTCACGTAAGTTACTGTTACACCTATACTTTTTTATATCCTCTCCAGACAGCGAAGTCAGTGCGAAGGTCTCACCATTTGGTTATAACGTAAATCACATTAAGTGGGGAGAGAGTTAAGTTCAGGTTGGCCTTTGCCAACGACACAAATATTTTATCATTCAGTAGGAAAAAGTAGTAATAAAATAAATCAAAATGTTTCTGTTCTGACAGCAAATTAACTGCTCAGCCTTAGTCGCCCACATCCGGCTGCCACATGGATATACAAACTAACATGAAGCTGCATACCGTGATGCAAAACAGCTGCCCATATCAATTCCACTTCGATTGCCCACTCAACGTTGTTTTCATCCACAAGTAATTCTACTTATTCTTTCGTGGGCTGGTGAGCTCATTTTGGTGGAAAGTGTGGAGTAAGGAAGCCATCCGCACCTTAATCAAGTCACGTTTCTCTAACATCTTCGAAAAAACTTTAGTCTCGTCGTTCTCCACCTGGAATTCATCAAGCAAATAGCATTGGCATCAAGCACTTCAGAAGACACCTCTTGACCTTTATGGTCCTCATAACCGAACTGTTATGTGATGCAAAGTGAAATTGAAAGTGGTGAGATATAACAAGTGTTTCCATTATCTGTACAACAACCAGTAGATAGATCCCATTTTTGTGCTTGGCTAATTTACCTTATCCTTCAGGCTACTAACATATCTTTCTTGAGAGATTTGAGCACGATGAGCAATGTCTTCAAGACAACACACACAACATAGCTCACAGCTTTTTAGTTCATCTTAGCAAACCGTAGCCTGGGACAGCGCAATCACGTTTTGGTATGACAGCTAGGATCTAAGGGATGCTGATGGGGAAATTTCCCAGCTAATTCTCGATAGAAGCTTGGAAGAGCTTGGCATTTTTTACCGTATTGGTAGTTCACTTTTTTTAAAAACTCCTGGTTCTACCATTAGTTTAGAGAACTGGGCCTCATTTTATTTGGCCTCTACTGTGTTTTTGATGAGGTTAACCCTAAAAAATGAGCGTATCCTGAAATGAAGATGTCAAAATGTCTTAGTAGATAAGAATGAACCATACTTCCATCGTCTGACCGTGGATATTCGGGGTAAGCTTCCTGTTGACAAATTTAATCAGACGTCTTGTAGTGCCAGACAAACATAACGAGCATTATTGAAGGTCATGAAAGACAGTATATTATTGGGTGAATAAATTTTGTGCTAGCAGGCAGGAACATAGGCACGAGGTAGCCTAATTAACTACCCCATTTTTTCTGCCCCTGAAATAAAGAGAACATGTTTGGTATAATCAGTTTGCAATAAGTAGTTTGAGATGCACATGGTACCGCTAAATCTATCATACAAGAGTCAATTTCATTCCTTCCTCTATCCAATTCACACATACTTTTGTAAACTTTTGGAGTGTGAATACAACCAGTTAACGGTTTTCACTTGAAACTGACCTTTGCTTATGGCTTATTTGTTTAATTGAGCCTACGTGAGTGATCATGGAATCTACGTACACGATGCTTCCCGAATTACCTTCTGTAATGGTGAGACTATAATTCATAAATGACGTTTGAGCAACGCTAAATTGACCTAGAGAGTCTTCACCTACTAACTAGGACCAAAAGGTCATAAATTAATGCGAGGAATAAGAATTATGATTTACTGTTGATGGTCAGGGTTAGGAATTATATTTAGGGGTTCATCACGAACTGACATAAGCTATAATGCCAAAACTGTATTTAGCCAAATAAATGGGTGAATTTCGCGCCGAAATCCGAGACCTGTTATTTTATACCTGACTGGTTCGTTCATAAATTATATTCCTGCCTCTGTAACATTAAAGCTTTGTGTTCTCCGTAGTCCACCAGGCAAATGACTGTTTACAACCTGACACTTTGTTTAATCGTGTCGCCTCGAGATCCGTCTGCAGTCCCGAGATGTTCAAATAATATCAAAAATCTATGGGCAAAGAATACCAATAAAGCGGAAGCCGCCATTTGCAATGAGGAGGTTACCGTTGTTATCTGTGGTCTAGAATCCCAGTCCTTTAGGACCACCTGAGCCACTTTAAGTTAGAATGCATTTAAGCCTCAAGGATTTCTTTTTTTAGTAGCACTGGGCCCTTTAGGTATCATGAACTGCTTCACAGAGAGTAAGGTTTCCTGATTTCCATCGTCGTCAGCTCTCTATGATTGGTAATGACGCAGTCATTCAGTGATATTGATGTTGTGATCCTATGTTTGCTGCTTCTTAGACTCGTGTTTTTTACCTAAGTTGGTTATGTCAAGTTGTCCTATCCGTGCATTTCCAGATGCTCAAGCACAGACCTGAAAGTTGGCATTAGGTAACAAAAAAGAGGACTAAATGAATAAAGGCTATAGTAATAAAGCCATGTGGAGGCTCAAACAATTTACGTTACCATTAGTTTTCTGGAATCAACAAATATTTTTACTGTTTCGTCCTTCAACTTTCTATTGACAAAGGCCTGTTTTCCCGTACAAATCTTTACACACCGCGTTTTGTTCTAATGGTTTATCTGAGTCCCCTTATTGATTAGTTTACGTTCTGCTTGTTAACGGATAAACCTTAACCTCTACCATAGGGGGAAATCTGATTTTATCACCCGCATTTAGTCGCTCGTTCTGTTGCTTGTTTTACTTGTTTCAGAGCCACGAATGTTCAAATGGTTCAAATGGTTGTGGACGGAATAGAAGAAGCTTTCGCTTAACAGGCTTCCGTGTCTAGTAGCAGGGGATCACCAAATCCTCCAGGCAGGAACCTAGGTATGTTAACAATAAAAAAGGAAAAGAAATTGGTAAATCATAGTGTGATGCTGTCCTTGGTCCTTAAGAATAGGTCAAGTTGCCTCTTGAAGGACTCCTGAGAAGTCGCTTGGACTAGCTCGGCCGGCAGCGAATTCCAGCTTTTGACAACTCTTAAGGAGTAGAAGTTGTGTCTACATTCCGTCTTGCTATGTTGTGCAACACACAGAGAAAAAATTTGAGACAGACGGGTGGCCACTAAGGTTGCAGTTTGTACTATGTGCCACTTTTTAAACAGATTATCACGACTGTGGACTTATGATACATCATCAACATAAAAACCGATTTCTTGACTTGTTGGTTTATCTGCATGAATATTCTATCAACATTTTTCACTGTCCTTATACATTTAATAACCTTGCCCAGGTAATATCTTATCTGTAGACCCATATTCAAAATTATTGATCATGCTGTAATGAAAGAAGCACAAGTGGGGACGACTAAATGTACAGTTATTTGGTAAAACGTGCAAAGCATGCGTTCAATCCTCGCCTTTACGTCTGCATTGGATCTTTCTTGTTCATCGATGATGCTATCCAGGTATAGGAAAGTTTCGACCTGCTCAAAATTTTCCCCATCAAGTTTGGCTGAGTTGGTACTCCTTGCATTGTATTTGAGGATCATGCTTTTTTTCTTATGTTTGTTGAGGCCTACTGATGCAGAGAGCACTTCTCTCAATATCCCTAAAAATTATGGAGCCCCTAATATGCGATGGTCTGCGTGACTACTTACTATCCATAAACTTCATTTCACCGAAACAACACAGTTTCAAGGAGAGTCACTTTCAATACACTTTGACTTCCAAAATACATTTGATAAGGTGCCTCAACTTACTGAATATTTACCCACTAGAGGATAGGCGTTCTAGAGTTGACCTTCTAACGACCTAGAGTACCCTCAACTCCTTTAGGCATAACTTTAGACACCTACATAAGCTCATTCCCAACAGAAACTTGGGGGTAACACCTAGAAACTAGAGAAAAAACATAGAACGGACTGTTGAGACACGTTTTTCTCCTTGCAAAAAGTAATATATCAGGAGTCACCTCCGACTGAGACTGTTTAAGAGACTTCTATGAGGTCCTTTTAAGAGAAAACGTAACATTCTTACGGACTTGGGACAGCATCTCCCTGGAACTTACTAATATTTCCATTTTTGTCGTTAAATATGCCTAAGCTCCTACCTAAAGAAATCAATGATCTCCTGCGAATAGGTACGGAAGTCCATTGAGCGAAAGCTTTTATTCCATCCAGAACGGTTCGAACCTTTTTGAGGGATATTACCCCTGGTGTAACACTTAGCCAAACTTCCCACCCTAAAATTTAGAAAATTTTTCAGAATTATACCTCATTGCAACACAGAGTTCTCTCTTACAACACAGATACACAGAAAAGTTTGAAGTTACTGTATTGTACAATGTTCATTGCTTTGTGTCTGTTGTTTAGGTGGTTGTACTTTCGCCATATTTGTCCTACTCGTTTGACTCATTCTCACACAGTAGTCCTATGGCTGACGAAGCTGAGCTTTTGGATTACGAAGATGAAGAGCAAGAAACAGTTCAAGAGGCTAGACCTAATGGAGAAGCTACAGCAAAGAAAGGTGTCAAAGGGGCATACGTCACCATACACAGTTCGGGATTCCGTGATTTCATTCTCAAGCCGGAATTATTAAGAGCCATCGTTGATTGTGGCTTCGAACATCCATCTGAAGTTCAACATGAATGTATACCTCAAGCCATTTTAAGTATGGATGTACTGTGCCAAGCAAAGTCTGGGATGGGCAAGACTGCCGTATTCGTCATAGCTACACTACAACAGCTCGATCCCGAAGGAGAAGCCAATACAACTGTTCTAGTCCTCTGTCACACAAGAGAACTTGCCTTCCAAATAAGTAAAGAATACGAACGATTCTCTAAATACATGCCAAAGATAAAGGTAAGAAGTGAGTACTATATTTTACCTTGAAGGTGGGTGTGTTCTTTGGTGGGATGCCAATACGTAAGGATATTGAAACACTAACAAAATCTCCCGTTCACATCGTTGTGGGGACTCCTGGTCGTATTCTGGACCTAGTGAGGAGTAAAACATTAAAGCTACAACATGTCAAACACTTCATCATTGATGAATGTGATAAAATGCTGGATACGCTCGGTAAGATTATGATACTCAACTTACTTTTATTAGATATGCGGCGTGATGTTCAAGAAATATTCCGCATGACTCCACATCAAAAACAAGTCATGATGTTTAGCGCAACCATGAGCAAAGAAATACGCCCTGTTTGCAGAAACTTCATGCAAGACGTACGTTGTTGCAATGTCTGGCGGAGTTGTCTTATTTCCATTCCCATTCCCACCTGAGCTGGTTTTGCGTTCGCCAAGATGACTTAGATCATCCGTGCCAAGTACAATTTTGATGTGTTTAGTCCTTACTAACTGAGCGTATCAGCTAGCATTTGCTCTGGAACGTTCGACGACTCAGCGTTCGACCGTGGAGCATGGCAGATGGTCGCTTGGATGTGATTCACATTTGCTTGCCAAACGCATTCGTATGGGCCAGGTGGAGAATCAAAAAGCAGGCAGTTTGACTATTTCTTAATGATTAATGTTTTGTCCATGTATAACGCCAGTGGTTTCTCATTAGCGCCTACTCGGCACTTACTACGTTTTTGTTTTTAGCCGTTGGAAATATTTATCGAGAATGACTCGAAGTTGACTTTGCATGGTCTACGGCAGCATTATGTTAAAGTCAAGGAAAATGAGAAAAACAGAAAGCTTTTTGAGCTTCTTGATGAACTGCAGTTCAACCAGGTAAGCTTTGGAAATGATGTTTGCCATGCTAATACTGATGTGGGCTAGTGCCTGATCACATGCGTTTAAGCGCTTTTTTTCTGAAATACCCTTTAAAGCTGTTCATATCGCTTTAGGTTATAATCTTCGTCAAATCCGTTCAACGATGTATGGCTTTGGCTCAGTTACTGGTCGACCAGAACTTCCCCGCGATTGCAATGCACCGTAATATGGCTCAGGAAGAACGTTTGGAACGTTATCAAGCATTTAAGAACTTTCAGAAACGTTTACTAGTGGCTACCAATCTCTTCGGTCGAGGTATGGACATTGAACGTGTCAATATCGTCTTCAACTATGATATGCCAGAAGATTCCGACACCTACCTTCACAGAGTATGTTAGCAGTTCGAAAGTAAAGTAATTCTGATTTAGGTTGCTCGAGCTGGTCGTTTCGGAACTAAAGGATTAGCCATAACCTTCATATCAGATGAAGTCGACGCGAAGGTACTCAATGAAGTACAAAATCGTTTTGAAGTTAATATCAGCGAGCTTCCTGACGTTATGGAAATATCCAGCTACATGGAAGACCGATAATTTGTATTTATCTGTACATTGTTTCTACTTCTGTCTATATTTCAAATGCAAGTATTTATCAACCTATGGTCTTTCCATCAGGAATTCTCTTCTTAAATCTTAAGCTAGTTTTGGTTCGAAGTGCCAAAGTAGGAACTAAATTAGGAATTCAAACGATTGCAAGTTTTGAGCCCCACCCGAGTAAACTACATACGGTAAAGCAATAGTAGCTTATGAATACATCGACGAGTATTCCGATGTACTTGACTACATGGTTCCATTCCTTTATCGAGTATACAAGAGGCTTGTTGCTTTAAATCATCGTCAGTGAGGCATCGCACACCCATCAGGTTGGCCTTGCTCTTGTAGTCGCTCCAAGGATGCTGCTATCCGGCTCTGCTGTGCTTGTTACCGGTCATCGACTGGGTCCTAGGGATCTGACGAACATAAGTCACTCCTTAGGTTTAACAGTATCCTGCCATCCACGGTGGCCGTGTGCAGTTATATGAATTCGGTCGGCGTTGGTCTTTAAACTTTTCTTGACATTCAGGATTTGCTGCATGCAGTACGTTTTGGTTATGGTGGGAGACCCGTGGCCTATTCACTTTGGGCGGAACGTTAACACGATTGGCTGGTCATATCTTGATGTTATCCCTTGTATGTAGCTGTTGGGTTCGGTTGATTGAACTAATTCCCATTGTTAGTAGGCTGCAAATATTTCCTGTGAGGCATTTACGGCACTAGTCCTACGGGTCTCGCGCCTCACTAGCAGGTGCCAATTGGTGGGTAGGGTCCGATCTGTTAGGGCTTCAAGCAGTGACCTGAAGTAGCTGTAGGACTAACACCGATAGGTTTGTAGTGGTAACGTGGGCGAACATATGTCTCTTAACATCCATTTCATTGGTTATCTAGACTTTGCTCATGTTACTTCGAGTGGTGAGAACTCATCTCAATTCAGTCTCCCTGTGTTTCTGGGAAGATTATGTCATATAACCTCGTCCAGCTCAACCGACGGTGATTTTTCCAATATAAGGTGCTGTCGGTTCGTCGCACTCCTATTAACCTTACTAGTTGCATGAGTGGTGTTTTGTGTGGGACCAAGTAACTGCAGTCGTGTGCATACAAAAGGACGTCAAGAGTAGTGTTCTTACCACTACTGAGGAAAACTGTAAAAAGGTTTATAACCAAGAATATTTCCAGTTGTCTCGTACAACGAATGCATCGTGTAGTTCTAAGGGGTGTTATTATCCGTAAGATTATTGCGTGGGTCGTTACGTATTAGTCGAATATTGGTAGGATTAGTACTGCCTCTCCTGTGTTACACGTACTTCAAGAGGTTCGAAACACGAACCGTAGGGTATATTTCAGTTCAAATTACATTTCCTGATCCTCAATCCGATCTTACAGACACCAAATGGTTACATTTATCCCATCAGCTTCGTTTACCTGGTACAAATAATGCAGCAGACAGTCCGTCGTGTTTTTTGATCAACGTTGCGTGGTCATCAATACTAATGAGCTTACGTTTAAGGGTTTGGTCGTAGGAATTTACTTCCAGATGTAATCGCCCTCATCAATGAGTTTAGGTATCTGCCAATCTCAAAACAATTTAGTTTTTATTTTCAAGTTTCATTGGAATTGTAAAAATCTAGTTATTACTGTAAGGGTTCGGGGAGATTACGGGATCTCATAACTGGCATCATAAATTGATCTAATCTAGTAAAGCAGTGAAAGTCAAAACAGCGAGTAGCTGTTTCGTCGTGAAGGTCCTAGGTCCAATCAGCTTTTGAGTCGTGGATGTTTGGCGCTGCGAAGTATTGTAGTAGAACGAAACGGATGTTCGGTGGTTATCTAGTCAGTAAGTTCACGATTTAAATTACAAAGTTAGCTATTTTATGTCTGAGACTTCTTAAGAAATATATCTAGATAGGAATGTTCTGTCTACAGCTGAAATAATGCTCACAGTTTTCCAGATTTGACTCTTATAACATGACAAGATCATACTAATTGTCTTCCTTTCTTTACCTCCATTTTTTGTGTGAGTTGATTTATTAAATAAACTTAATATAGTAACGATGGCTTATAAGATAATTAGGTTTCTTTCCGTGTACTTTGGTCTATAAAGTAAACAATGATGTAACAATAAGTCTGTTTACGTTAATCATATAGTCATGGTAGCAGCCAATGGCTCCCACCCTGGATGCTTGTATCCACACGTCTTGTAAGATGTCCAGCGTTTATTAGGTTCCCTAATTTCCTTTGAATAGGATTGTTATTATTTACAGTTCCACTGAGATTTTATGTTATGTTTGGCAAACTAATTCATTGTTCAGTCGTTGCTGTGCTTGTTAACTGGATACATTTTTGTGTTTATTTGTTCAGTGATTTTATAATTGTGTTTTTACCCAGCGACTTCCCTGTTTGTGTGCTTAGTCAATGTTTATTTTCATAAATAATACAACCAGTTATCATAGTTTCCAAGTGAGTGTACTACTAATAACTAACAGTCTAAACCCACAGCCTGTCAAAGCATCGAACCCAAAACATTCAGGTGTCAAGTTGGGCCCCATACCAGAACGCACCATCTATTTAGTATTATCTGGTTCTCAATGACATTCCAACTGAGATCAATCTGTGAAGAATACAATCTACAAATCAGACCAGTCTTCGCAAGACCTTTTCAACTAAACCACCAGAGTTCTCTTTTGTTGTTGGTTTTTAGGATTTCGAGTGATAATTCTGATTGTTGTACATATATCCTACTCGTTTATATTTCCAGTTTTATGATTCATTGGCTTTTTGCTAAAATAAATTGAATTTTTTTGAAAGGTTAATTTCTAGTCAACTGAACAGCATTCCGTTCTTCTCTATTCTGTATAAATCATTTTGAAAAAATAAAAAGGTAAACCAACAATATTTACACAATAAATGAATTCATTCTACTACAAGTCAGTTTTTATCAACTACAAAGATACTGTTCCTCTATAGTTGATTCCAATATCAACATGGAGTGAGAAAATATGATTTCTCTATTAACTTCATGCATACTGATGGACTTGTATCCTGAGCCCACGCCTCCGAACATCCCCGTCTGGTACCGTCGACTTCAGTCAAGTTTGGCGAAAGCTGGACTGATCACCCACGCTCTTGCCAACGCACCCAATCGATATTTTGGTTTCGAATGTTTGGCATACGCTTGGTCTCGAACTTGGTCGTTATGGTCGCTTCTGGTTCCTCGGCTCAACGTGGTTTCGTCCTACGTCTGCAGCGTTTCCGGTCCGCATCCCTACGAACGCAGTCTTCAGATTCTGAATACAAACCACTCTGATGTGGTATGCCAACCCGAGCAACAAATACAACACACCGCTTCTGGTACCGTTATCCGAAAAGGACCTTCGTTGGCAACTCGACGATCAATGATCGCTTTCCTGTTCGGCCAATTCTTCCGTCCTACAATCGCTCGTCAGCCAATCAGTCCCACGATTCAAACCGCTACTTATCGAAAGTGTAAACCCTTTCTAGCGGGGGGCTCCTGTAGTGACTTACTTTCATCACAAGAACACGATTGATTTAATGAAAACAATTATTATTATTATAACCAATTGTACCTGTGCTTGTTTTAATGTACTTCTGTTTAACTGTGCTAATGACATCCATATTACTACTCCATTACTCCTCATTACTTTTTCCCGCGGATTGTGACATAGTACGTTCGTACTCTTACCCGTTGATTCCACTTGTACTTCTTTTGGCACGATCTTGGTATTCGTTCGATACCACGAGATCGCCAAAGAAATAAATCTGGTTACGTTCAATCTTCGCCTTCTGATTTATTTGGCACTTGTTTCCTTGTAGTGGTGTTCATAGTCAATCTCGACTCGACTCCATGTTACAGACTTAACCATGTTTATTAATAAAATACTGAAGTGTTTTACGTAATTATACTTTATATATATATATATATATATATATATATATATATATATATATATATATATATATATATATATATATATATATATATATATATATATATATATATCGAAATAATTGTTATAAGGATCGAACAATATAAAATCCGAAGAAGCAAATTGTGGGCGATTACTTATGAGAACTAAATTATTGACAACAACTTCCCGACATGAATAAGTGAATAACAATATTAAAATACTGGTCACTGAGCTAACTAATTCATACACAAAATGTTGAACTCTGAGTGAACTTTAATTAAAGTTATTATAGGTTAATTGTCAACTAACGAAATTAAAACTTGATAATTACAATCAATTCATGAGTATTGTGAATTCCCACATGTCTAGTCTAAACATAATATCATAGTATTGAACAAGTTCACTAAAAATAGATGATCTGTTTGATTTTTTATGATAATACACAAATAACCATAAGTATGACAACTCCTCATTAGATTGAATCAATAAGAATATATTTTTTTTATTTGTAAATAAAATAATAAAATTGGGTTGTGGTGTATGCTACTTATGTCGACAGAAATAAGTAGTACGTAACATCTGTCGGAAGTGGAAAACCTGGCAACAGAAGACTAAGAAGATTGAGTTTAAGAGAAGACTGGAAAATAGAAAGGAATTGCGAACTTGAAGAAATATACAGCATGTTGAGGGCACATGATGGAGATTTAGTGTACTGTTCTTATATTTCAGCAAGATATTCTGTAATTTTGTGGTGTTTGAATGAACTAATGATTCCTTTGTACTTGTTGAATGCTTGATTCCGAATTCCAAATACAGTACATTCGTTCGTGCTTATTTTGTACTTCTTGATTCAATTGCGTTATTTCTGGAATACTATAATTCAAATACTCCTAATTATCATAAATTTTTGGTTGACTGTTTCCATCTGAGTGCTTGTTCATTACAGGGTCTCTTTTTTTTTACATAGGACAAGGATTTTTATCAGTCTCTCAGATCACCTGTTCTTGTGTCCACTTTATAAATAATAGCGTCAACTTTGACTTCATCGATTAACCATATATATGACTTCTG